GATAGATTGAAACCTATTTTATTTAATATAAAAAAATTATAATCATTAATTAGATTTTACAAATTTTTCATTAGAGATAACTAAAAATTTTATTTTTTGATGTATCTACATTTTTGTATCAGACTATATTTAATAATATTAACTATACAAGAAATAAATCTAGAATATGAAAATATAATAAGTTTTTAATAATATGCAAAAGTAAAATATTATAAGAAAAGAAGTAAGATAAATTTTTATTTTTTATATATTATCAAATAGAAATATTAATTTGATATTATGTATCTTATTCTTAATTAATACTTGAATATATTATAATAATTAAGCAATTTAATATTATATATCTTATTCTTAATTAATATTTAAGTATATTATAAAAATTATAAATATTATTTTAATGCTACATATCTTAATTCTGATTCTTATAAAGAAATTAACTAGAAAATTAAAGTATTACATATCAAGTTTGAATATAGTTCTTATATTAAATTTATATGAAATAAAATACATTATTAGATATATTTTTTTATCACATATAATTTAATAATAAAAAATAATCATAATTATTATTCATAATATTATATGTTATTCTTGAGATGACAATATTAATAAAAATTTATCATCATATTTTTTGTGAATTATGAGATACTCAAGTCTGATGACAGACTTGCAAACTCATCATCATTCAAATAATGATATATATATGATCTCATTATTATTAGGATATTTATAATTCACATTAAGTGATATAATTAAAATCTAATTAGATTATAATTATATCACTGAAAGTAATTTATATAAAGTTATTTTTTAATTTTTATATTTATTTATTTTTGTTTACATAATCTGACATATTCTTATATAACAATTATTACAATTAGATTGATTTTATTGTATTTTAAAGTGATTTGCTGAATTTCATCTTTTTATTTAGGTTGTGTTTGGATTTAAGATGCCAGAAGTACTATTTTTATTAATGAAGAATTTTGCAACAATTGCATCTTAATTTATCAAAGTAAAGTGTTTCCAAGCTCTAATAATATAATTTAATTTCCTTTTCATTAATATCATTTATTGTGAAAGTTCAAAAAATGATGAAAATTAATTTATAATATTAAATAAAAAATAATTAGTCAATGGTTAATCATTTTAATTTGAGGATTAAACATTATGGTTCGGCATTACCGTTACCGATCGGTAATTTTTCGAGACTATTCGAAGATATCGTTTCGAAAAATTCGATTCACTTACCGAACGGTAACGGTAATTACCGAACAATTCTGATCCTTAATCATGTAAAGTCACATATAAGCGCGGTATAGCGATAAAAATGATTTCTCTTCGCAGTAAAATAGATCACAAATAGTGTTATTTTATTGATGAATCAAAATAATAACATTAGATTGTGAATAACACGTGACAGATTGTTGCATTTTATTTATCATTTTTATCACAAATTAGTTGACGATTTAACGGTAGTCTGTTTTTTATATAAATACTCGCGAATATAAGTCGAGCTTAGCTTCAAGTTTTTTAATTCGACTTCACCTAATGAGGGATTCGTGGAGGATATCACTTCGATCACCGCCAAATCGAGTTTTTTAAATGAACGTTTCTTACGCTCCTCGTTAACTGCAAGGGAAAAATAAAATACATATTATTCGGTTTTCTCTCTTTCTGAAAAAAATCATTAGATATATAGGAAATTTATCTAATAATAACTTGAATTAGCACCCGCCATAGTCTCCTTCGACACCACTATCGCTTCAATATCCGGATCAGTAGCAGTTGGACCATAAATATCATAAATAGGTACAACTTGATATTGAATAAACGCCTCGCTTCTTAGTTTTCTCAAGAATTTTAACACTTTGGAAATTCGCGTATCAATTGGCTCTAAAAATTCTTTGTACTTTTTGTTTTGTAACATGTTTTCCGCGGTCACGCCACACACCAAACGTTTGTTGGTGATCCACACGCTCATGTGTAATAGGATTTTATGGCCGGCGTGTAAATGATCAAATGTTCCGCCAACTGCTACGTGATTAAATCGTGTTTTTTTCATGATTGATGATTGTAACGAATTGCCTGCAATTGATGTGTTATCATGACTCGTAGTAAGGCTATCACTTTGTGATCTTGATGTTAACAGTTGGATCGGTAATTCTGAGAGATTCGAGTTTTTACGATTTTCATTAAACTTTTGAAGATTATAACAATCTTCATTATTTGATAGATAGAACAATCAGTTATTTATTATAATAAGAATTTCAGGAATGCATAAATTCTCGCTCACCTTCTCGTTCACCAAATATCACTTCAAACTGTTCATCATCACTTAATTCAATCGGATATCCACACCACTCTTCGAAAACTACATCAACGTCCAATAACGGAAAGAAATTATCATGAGCTGCTTTAGTGGCACTCACATAAATCAAACTCAAAACATCATGAACCTCCTTCCAACACATGAAAGGTACATCTTTATATCTCTGAATATCGGGACTAAATACATATATAGTCAACGCTTCCGAGACACGACCAACTGCCAATGAAACAAGCTCTTGGTAATATTCATTAAATGAGGAGAATGCATCTAACGAAACGTGAAGTAAGGCACGTTTATATGGTGGAGAAGTACTTGACATTTATACGCGTGAGATTCACAAGATAATAAACTAACCATCGCACGATAAGTATGTATACAAATCTCTGAAGTCGATCAACTGCATACAAAGATTAACCTTAAAAAAATTAACTTTTCAATTTTTTTGTTGGTCAACTTTACGAATGTCAATTTCAAGTGACCCAAAATTAGAAGATAAACGAGCAAAGCTCGGCATACTTTCAAAACCCATAGTACCAAACAACAAAATCGATGAGCTCTATGATGACGAGGAACAAGAAGACGCGGTATATGAGACGGGAATAGATAGAATAAAGAGAAACATGAGAGAACAACCTTTAGTCCCTGCCGGTTCATTATCAGCCTATTTTTGACCGTCTCAGTTTTCGTTTTGTGACATTTTCTCAATTTGAACTAATAAGCTATGCAATTATTTTTAGGAATGTTTCTTACCACTTTTGCTCTTGTTGCGGCTACCATCGGAATGCATCGTGGAAACGCGCGCATGTTTCAGCAAATGCTTCGTTTGCGTGTAGCCGCGCAAGGCTTTACTGTGGTAGCAGTAGCAGTTGGCGGTATAGCATATCGTCAACAACTTACAAAGTCTAATGAAAATCTTGAGGCAAAAAATTCGATACCTAATTCATAGTGTGGAAATGAGATATTATGGACTATGATCATTAGATTCCGAAGAACTGAATTTTGTACATGTGTATTTTAATTTTATTTACTACATTTTTTTTCAATTTCTCGCGATGAAATCATTTCGTGGAAATATAATGTCAATTACTTGCTGTCAGACCGGCTGAAACGTATATAAAATAGAATGATTTATTTCTTGGTTTGAGCATCATGTTCTTTTTGTTTCTTGAGCATTTCTGCCTCAATCTCGATTGCCTTTTTCGGTGTTTTTCGCCTAATGCGTTCGATTTCCGCAATCTCATCCTCGACTGATTTTTCGACCGGTCGATGTGTCCGTTTGTTTGGGGTCACAGCATCATAATTTCTGAGATATTGATGCAGGATCTACGTGATGATGGTAGAAAGGATAGTCTTTGTTTACATTTTTAATAAGACTGAACAAATTGCGAAAATTTACCTTTTCGGCCTCACGAGGTGACTTGATCCCTAGATCTTTTAACGTTAAAACATTTGAATTTGTATCGACAATGTTGTCTTTTTGAAGTAATTTCACTTGGTCACGCGTGATGGTGAAAAGATTTAGTGGTAACTTTTCGAGAAAGAATCCTTGAAGTAGTCCGACGCTCCATGGCATGGATACAATTGGTCGTTTGATTCCTGCTTGGTCCAGTGTAAGTTGGATTATTTCTCTATAGGTATACACTATGTTCAAGTTTAGATATAAAATTAGCATTTATATAAACGTAATGGATAAACTCACAGATACAAATATACGAATGATACCAGTTGGACCACCAGCTTCGATGACCTTTCCTCGATATTTAGGATCCGTCGCAGCCTTAAATATTGCATCCGCCAGATCCCATACATAGATTGGTTGGAATTTTGTAGTTCCGCCACCGAATACTGGCATAAATGGAAGAAGTCTTGCAAGTTTTGCAAATCGCTGTGTGGTGCCATATATTAGTTATTTATACCGGAAAATATAGACATGAATTTTTGATAATTTATTCACATTGAAAAAATCATCCTCAGGTCCGAATACCAAACTTGGGCGAATAATCGCTGCACTAGGATACTCTTGACGAACGGAACTTTCTCCCAATCCTAATAAGAATGTAATATAATAATATTGCAACACGCAATTCAAATAATAAGACTTTAGCAACGATAATTCACTTACCTTTGGTTCTTGCATATGGAATGTCACTTTTCGGATCCGCACCAATAGCGCTCACGTGCACCAATGCTGCATCATTTTCTCGTGCTGCAATTGCGACATTGCGTGCACCTTCATGTTGAACGGCCTTAAACGTGTATTTTGGCGGTTTCTCGTGCATGATCCCCACGAGATTAATCACGGTATTGGCTCCTTTACACGCCCCCGTGACTTCTGAAGGAGATGTTATGTCCATCTTTATGGGTGGGAGAATCTGATTACCTTGATCCAATTTTTTTATCAGAAGTTCTATCATGTTTTATTTTTAATCGAACATCAGTACGATCACGCTTGCAGTATTTTACCTAAATTTTGAAGTTGATCGAGTTTTGGATTACGTGCTGCTAGTGCTATTGATGTATTTGGATCTCGTATGAACGCTTTTGCGACATATTTACCTGAGGATATGATATATACGGAATAATAATGATTCTTCAAATTTATGTTATAATTATCATCGCTATTGAACATCATCGATTCGATATTATTAAAAACCAAATCATCAAGTCTTTCTTTAAGGGACTTACCGATAAATCCAGTTCCACCAATAACCACAACTTTCATTCTACTATTATTATTATGTCGAATTTCACTATTATTACTGTTGTTACTATAATTATTTACCAATGAAAATCTATATTTTGAAAATGAATAGGTCCTGGTAGAAAAAAGGGTAATTGTACAGAGTTTTGTCGTGTTAGAAAATACATTCGTAAAATTAACATTTTAAATTTGTGATCGGCTATCATGTCGTCATCGTTACAGTGATAGTTACGCGTGGTAGTGATCGACCGACGGATTTACTAAAATTGTGTAGATATATAAATTGACGCGCTTTTTTCGCTAAACGAAACCGATAGAATTTTAATTTCTCTTATTTTCACAAAATATAAACTAAACGAAACAAACTTATTTTCCACAAAATATAAACATTAATTAATTATGGATTTCGAACTTTATGACGCAAACATTACTTTGTCTGACATTAAATGACCGGGATTAAAGTTTTGGTATTAATTTTTCACAGCAGAAATCACAAATTTCGTAGTGGCACCTTTAAAGTTTTTATTTAAAAGTGATTGATTTGATTATGTGGCACTGATGCATTGGAATTGTGGTGTGAAAATATTACAAGAGATTAGATGAGAGGAGGAATTAATCTATGGTGAGAATTAATGTGTACAGCGGGGTGGGGAGAGGTATGTGATTGTGTGATCTGAATAAATAATGAAATATATACCAAATGATGACCCTATACAAATACATGTGATTACAAGAATCTAAATGATACTCTAATGAATTACAAACGAGACATGACAATTTAGCTTAAGAGAAAGCTTGATTGATTGGTTAACAGGGGAAACGAGATGGGACATTTTCTTTGTTCATTTCTTTTTTGATATCAACGAATGAAGGATTAAGATTTTGTAATCTGAAGATAAAGTCCAAACAATGAGGTCATCATAGTCGTTAGCATACTAATTCCTGGTATAATGTGATTAGTATATCGTGATCGTTTTATAACACCTCGTGAGAACAACGAAGACGCATCACTGGTGATAGATACTGCGCTGGCACTATGAACAGTGCTCGCTTCATTCACGAAATTCGGGCCGCAGAAATCGTTAAAATATGTTCTGACGGGTGAGAAGGTTTGTGAGAGTGGAAGCGACGAGTCACCCGCGTATTCCGAATAGATGTTTAGGATTTTTTGGTTACATTCAGAGCAAGGGAGTTGTTCTTGCGGTGCCGTTAATTGTGTGCCTACAAACGAGAAAAATATCAAGAATTAGGGTTGGTGAACGCACATACATTCAGTGAAAACAGAAGAAAAATGAGATTTCGCACATACCACTTGGTAAATAAAAGATCCCAAGACCAAGTTTTTGAGCGAGCGCGTCGACATAACAATAAACATTGGAACTATTTTTCGAACATCCCGCGAGCTGATATAATTGATAGGTGTTGAAGGACACGAAGGCCTCGGTAGCGATTGGATTCTGGCTTTGTAAATCAGTTCGACAATTGCTTGAAGAGACAATTTGGCTAGCATAAGTCGACATAATTTTATTACATTCATCTGAACTATTCGGTGCATTACATATTTGATCTAGTAACGCGGGCACGGATGAAACGTTTCTTGATTGAACGGCGAAATTATTAGAATTCAGTAGCAAGAAACCGAAGCTATAACATTTTTGAAAGTTTTGATCTTTTGTAAATGTTTGAAAGAACGAGAGGCACGAGGAGGTGAGGTTATAGTTGAGTGTTGTATCGAAAGGTTGTGGAATATTATTATTGTTAGTTGATGTGGTTGATGTTGAAGCTGGTAAAGCTGTGCTAATTGTTATGAATGCAAGGAAGAACAGTAATCGTAATAAGGAGGAAGAATGGGAAGAGGAGACGGAAAGGGTTCCTTGCCGATTTGGTGTTGATCGAGACATTTGTGAGAAGTGGGAATGCGTTGACGTTTGAAGGAATGACAACAGATTAATGTTATGAAAAAGGAGGAGGAGGAGGAGGAGAAAGTTTTAGAGAAAGAATGAACGCAGTTTTTACAGCCGAAAGATTGACTGAGTTGGATTGTGTGAATCTTCGAAAAACTAGAGCGAAAACAAGCCCGCTTTAATTTTTTTTATTTCACAAAAACAATGAATGATACTACTACTAATGACAGAAAAAAGATCTCGAAGAAAGTTTCATTCCCATGTGTATGTATGTATGTATATATATTAACTACTCTTTGCGGGGCATGTGTTATGGTAGATAGAGTGCATAGAATACTATTAGTTCTCTTTATATCAATCGTCGCTCGTTCACTCTCTTGTTCGTTCCAAAATTTTGTTTGTGACGATAACGGTCAGCTATATAAATATTTCGGTGTCCAGTAAACGTGTTCACAAGTGTCACCGTAATAGCATATTGTCGACAACATATTATTTAAAAATTATTAATATCAATATAATTATGATTACACATTACACGGGAGGTAAAGAAAAAAAGGAAATATCTAATTCAGAGTGAATAATGGTTGGTGTTTAGTTTATGGTACAGCATAAAAGGAACCGATAAACATTGACTCTAAAAATATCCGTGCGTACCACATAGTCAACCTGAAACCTGGAATTTTAAATTTTTCGAAATCTCTCCGGCTTAACGGGATTTTTAAAAAATGAAGGGTTATGCTTTGCCTGTTATTTCGCTGATTTCCTAAACGGTTTAACATTTTTCTTTATGTCTGTTGCGATAATTAACTTTCAATTATTCGATTTTATTGCATCGCGAAGATCTGTCTGACGCGCGTTTATCGGATAAACCAAAAAAAAATGATTGCTCATCCTAAACTAAAGATTCCGAATAAAGTTTATGGTCAGAATTATTTTACGCAAATCTTACGTGTTGCTCTATTAGCAAAAGTTTCATTAGAACATAATGAAACAGTTCTTGCAACCTACGAGTTTCTTGCAACGTTATTTTCCTTGATACATGCAATTTATGGCTGTTATGCTCGTAATATTTTATTACAGTCTTTTTCCTCCGCCTCAGTTAATTCCTCGGGGGAGAGAGAGCTAACTCATTATTTTCATTACTTAGAAAATGATTCATGATGAATTTACGTTCATCAACCATTAAAAACATGTAATTTCCGTATATAAATTAGCAGCATTGTCTTTTGATGTTTCGTAAAATGGTTCCATTATATAAATGTTCTTCAGAAAAATTATTTTAATATCGCTAATAAAGAATTTCTAACAGTTTATGCTATAAACATCCAATAATTATGAGTTGCTCTATTTTAAAGATTTAATCAAGAAATGTAGTAAAATGTTCAACCACCAATTTGAATAAATTTCTTCAAAGTTAAGAAAACTCAAACCATTTCACATGCCCATTTCTCCGGCCGTTAAAGTGAGTTCAGCAACATCGTTTTTGTTTTGTTTCTTATACATGTATTCATAACATCGTCAAAGTCGTTTTTAAATGTCATTCGAATACTTTTTTTTTATCCAGTCCACGTCATTGATTGTTGATAATATTACAAGATTAGAATCTATACCGTATATTATCTCGTAGATTTTGTAAAAATCGTATTTCATCAAAAAAGTTGTTTGTAATAAATGCAAGCAAATAATTTTGTTACGTTTAACATTTCGCTAGACAAATTAGGATTGTTTTCATTTTCTGAGATAAAAAAGGGTGACACTAAGTTTCCAATAAAGTTAATTATTGTGTGTTTATTCATGGGCGTTCTTTATCTCCAATACTACGGTTTACTTCAAATAAATTAGAATTACTGTGACTCGTAATATTTGTTAAACTAGTATTGTTTATTTTTTATTTTTATGGATGGAATAAATAGAGACGAAGAGATTGAAACCACACCAATATGTGTTTGACTAATGTCCTTTTGGACGTTCTTTAATGAAGAAAGCAATTTCATTAATTTAATTTATATTAAAACTAGGTCCGAGCGATGAATTTTTTTAATTGGTGTATTTATTTATAACCAGTCACGTGGCGTGACAACCGGAAATACCACACGACAATCAATTTTTCCATATCGCAGAATAATATATAGTTCTTCCGGGACAACTACTCATAACGATCTGCATTTTATTACAATAGTCTATAATTCTCTATCAATTGAAATTTCTAATGTTTGTAAATGACCAGTCCCCTGGGTGCTCTCCGAGAGGTTTGTCTGTATATTAAACATGGCGATATTAATAAGTAAATGGCGACAATTTTGTAAACGAACGTAACAAATGAAATGATGCAAACCAAAGTTTAAGTTCGAGAGATGACCATTGCGGTCATTGTATGTTTATCATTAAACTAATAGAATAATTTCAATAGCGACCAAAAGTGTTTCTTATTGTTTCTAATAAACCTTATATTTGTTCGTGTTTAAAGTTTACATCTATAAAAACCAATAATACGTATCACTTTTACTATAAAAACCAACATAATATGTATCACTTTTTCTTTTTTCTTTATTACATGCGATTTGATAATACATATATATTTACTTTAGTACATGTAATAGTATTAGAATTAAAACATCACATGATATTAATCTGTGTTCTGATTGGTCAAATATACGAATCTATTATAAAAATTTTGACTTTAGCAGTTTTGTTCCTTACTATATAATTATTAGAAACTTTCACTTTTTTGATTTTCTGTATTCCAACTTTGAAATATAATTCCAATTTGAGGGTTAAAAAATATTGAGAAATTTTACTATATAATTATTAGAAATTTTCACTTTTTTAATTTTCTGTATGCCAGCTTTAGAATATAATTCCAGTTTGAGAATTGAAAAATGATCTTGAATTCTGAAAGTCTCAGTCTTCTTTCCATTTTGAGTTTCTGTCAAGCAAAAGTTAACTTTTTATTTAATAAATATATTAAATATTTATTAATATCTGAGTTTATATTATGAATTATAGATTAAGTAAAAGAAAAGTAAGTAAATTTTAATATTAAAATTTCGATCTAGATAATAAGAAACAAAACATGTGAATTTTCTTTTCAAAATACTATTTATTTTTTATCTCATAATTTGATTAGTATATCTTTAAAAATTATATGAAAACTGATATATTTTTTTTATTAAAATATTTTTTATTTTATGATTTCTATTATAATGCTAAATATCTTGAATTTATTTTTGCTAATATCAATTATTTTTAAGCTTTTGCATTTATTAAGAATAGTTTTGATAATGAAGTATTATATATTTTCAATATTAATTCTCTTTTTAAATTCTACAGATTATTATAAATTTTATTAATAATATTATCTTTTAAAAAAAGCATCAAAGAAAATAAATAATAGAAATAAAAATACAAATGAGAAAATATAATAAAAAAAATTAGTAAAGAAAGAATAAAAATGAAAAATTTAAATAAAAAGAATGTATGATAAAATTATTACATAAAAAAAAAATAATATTTAATTTTTTTTTAATATATCAAACTCTATATTAATTTATTATATTAATTATTAATAAGAAATTAATATTAATATTCTTATAAGAAACTAAACAGATTTAAATATATATAGTGATGACCAAAAGTAATGACTCAGGGGCTAAATTTACTAATAAAATATAGTGAAAATTGAAATTTTTTCTCTATATAAAAATTTATGATTTTAATAAGAAATAATTTTTATTTTTATATTAAAATAAAGTTTATCAGTTATAGT